ACAACTTAAAAGTATATTCAGTAAGGGCATAATATCCATCTGTTTAAATTCAAATTACAAAAAGGATGGGTTTATAGAATCTGAATTATGAATTCAGAACTAAAATAGGTTATTTGATTTCAATGAATTATAGAACTAGTATGTTAGAGAATGAGATAATTGTGGATTTTAAAAAAATAGTGTTTGCCAGCCCCAATCTCCACTCCCAGTCAAAAAGTGTTGAATAATGATTAGATATTGTATCAACATCAAAAATTATTGTGGCCAAAACCGGTTTGGCTCAGTGGATAGAGCATCGGCCTGCGGACTGAAAGGTCCCAGGTTCGATTCCGGTCAAGGGCATGTACCTGGGTTGCGGGCACATCCCCAGTAGGAGATGTGCAGGAGGCAGCTGATCGATGTTTCTCTCTCATCGATGTTTCTGACTCTCTATCTCTCTCCCTTCCTCTCTGTAAAAAATCAATAAAATATATTTTTAAAAAAATTATTGTGGACTTCAATTCAGTCTAAGGGCTCAGAATTAAATTATGTCTTTGTAGATAATAAAACAAGGATATAAACCTTGTTTAAATGTATTTAAAATTTTTAAATTATAATACAAAAGTTTTTAGCATACATAATAGTACACTGAAATGTATAATCTTTAAATTAAACTTTTTATCTGAGAAAATTATAAATCAGAAACAATTGTGCAGAATAATACAGTGAGATCCTATGTACTCTTTACCCAGTTTCCCCCAATGGAAACATCTTGTAAAACTATAGTACAGCATCAATATTAGGATACTGACATTGATGCAGTCGTGTGCAGACAATTCCATCACCACAAGAATCCCTCAGGCTGCCTTTTTACGGCCACCTGTAATCAACCACCTTTCTTAGACCCTGAACACAAATCTGTTCCTCATTTCTATAATTTTGTCATGTCAAGAATATTCTAAAAATAGCATCATACAGTATATAAACTTTTAGTAGTCCTTCCTTGGGTTCCAAGATTACTAGCTAACCTATCTTCTTTCTGCCTTTCAGATTCTCCCTACATTTGTGTGTGTGTGTGTGTGTGTGTGTATTAATTGTACTTAGTGGGGGAGTTACAGAAAAGTACATTTATTCCAACTTCCTGGAAACAGAAGTCCAAATGATAGAATTTTAGACACTAAGGTTGTTATACTTTCAATTACTACAATTGAATCTTTTAAAACACTTACCAATAGACTTCAATTACCTCTTACCCATTAGCTTCTAAGTGAATTTCTGGGATATACCATCATAATTTGGTTTGTAGATTTTTTTTAAAAAGTATTTCAACCGATTTAGTTATAGAGAGAAAATATATCCTTTCAGCCAGTAATGATATCAAGATGATCTGTAATTACCTATCAGGTGAATTAGAAGTGAACAAATCATATTAGATGTATCAGGGTGAAAAGATGAATAAAAAGAAACAGATTTAGGCTTAGCTCAGCTTTGAATGCCAAAGGCTAAAACAACTGGAATACTTTTGAGTTTTTCAAAGTGAATAATTGTATATTTGCCTAGCATAGTGTCTTTCGTTATTATTCTAACCACCTTTTAAAAGGAACAAAATAAAATAATTGCATTTTAACTCCAGGCACTCAGATTTACTGTGACAACAAAGTCACTGTTTGCTTTGGGCACCATCACTACTCTTCACATTGCCCAAACTTCTCCAAACTGGGCCATTTGCTCCTCCCTGAATAATAATTTACACCTTCCCAGAGCTTTTCTGAGATCTGCTTGAAAGATGTCTTCTCCTTTCCTCTCTCAAAGTCCTTCCATCTCTTGAGGTTTATCTCCAATGTCCAACCTGCACCTTACCCTGATAATTAATTGCCAGCTCTTGGGGGAGACAGAAATTGTGTTCCGTCTTAAAGGATGAGTTAGAATTGTTCAGAGGTGCAAGGCTGGACAGGCAGGGGAGGGAGGAGGCGTAGGGCCTTCACATGCTTTGTTGGTAGAACAGGCTAATGAGTTAAAGAACAGAGGAGGAAAACTACCTGATATATTTCAGCAAACCACCAAACAGCTTACTACTGGCATCAATTTTGAGACTAGGAGTGGTGGGAAATGAGGCTAGAAGGGGAGCTAAATATAACATTAGGAAGGGTTTGTATTCCATGAAAAATATCATACTTTTTTAGTAATCACTTCGTAGACATTCGATTGTTTTGTCACTTAGTAGACATTCAATTCCCTTCCTTCCTTCTGACACTTATCTCAATTTACTTTAAATTATAATCGCATATGTATCTTTGCTACAAGATTTCAAATTCCTTTAGGTTAGGATTGGTATCCAAAACAGTGGCTCTAACCGGGGGAAATTTTGCCCTTTAAGGAATATATGGCAATTTCTGCTGACATTTTTATTGTCCCAAATGTCATCTGTCTTGATGGCAGGATATTACTAAACATCCTATAATGCACAAGAGAGCTCACAAAATATTGCTTAACCCAAAATATCAATGATGCTGAGGTTGGAGATCCTTGCTGAGTTCATCTTTGCAGCCAGGTAGCAAATGAGCAGAGTTGCACATTATGGGAGACAGAGTTGTCAGAAATGATTTGAAACCCCTCTTCTGTAGGTGAGTTTTATAAATCACCATGAGGGAGTAAAATTAATTGGAAATTTATATGGTGTAGGAAAAATTAGAAGATAACAGAGGTTTATGAATTTTGATTAATTTGGGAAAAACAAATTTTCATTTGTATTTAGAGGAGACCAATTTAAAAGCTAAAGTTCTCTTAATCAGCAAGCTTTTGTAATGAAATGCAGCAGGATTTACTTTTCTATCAAAGCCGCTCCCTTGATAGTTAAAGAATGCAACCAGACACAATTAAAAGATCACTGGTAAGCAGAATACAGCACCTTCCCTGAATTCTGGGAGAGTGGTGCAGTTAATAATCTAGGAGCTTAATGAAAAGTTGAACTTTTTTGGTCCTAAATCTATCAATATTGCTTACCTACATTTTTATATTCAAAAGTGATGAAATAGTAAGAGTCAAAAAAAATTTGTGATTTTGTAAAAAAAAAAAAAATGTTTTATCGATAATTCAAGTAACAAATATTTAAAACTGAAAAGTAGAGATAAATTATTAATAAATCTGTAGCAATTAGCCATGGATGGTAAGGACTTCATGTGGAGGAAGGGAAGGAGTTATAGACATGACTGGGGCATTTAATCAAACCATTGCCTCTTTACCTAGCTACTATCATATCCAAGTACCAATGACAGAGTATCCATGGGGCCAGGCCACTCAATGATTAGAGATTTTTATGGGTCCTGGTGGATAAAAGATTAAGAAGTGTTAGTATAATCTATTTTTCCAGTACCCATGAAAATACTAAAATCACCATATGACTTTGTTTGGTCAAATCAAAATTTCTTCTAAAACCAAATGGGAGACACTGGTTTTTAATAATACTCTGTACTTGAAAAATCAGTCCCGTAAAAGCAATGATCCTGATGATTCTATTATATAAGAAAATAGTTCTTACTATCACTATTTTATTGCCAATAGCAACATATAATTCAATGAAAAAAATGCTGGAGGTTGATTTTTTTTAAAGAAAACTAACTCTGCTAATACAACATCAGTGATGGTATCCTTATTTAGCTGTTTATTTGTGCACTGGTTCAGATACTGCATTGGGGTGGGGGGGACGGGGGACGGGTACACATTCCCTCTCATCCGGGACCTTAAAACAAAAGCCCTTGAAGAATATGTTGCACAGCCTTCTCTCCCATCCATTCCTCCCGGAGCAGGGTCACTGCTTCTGAGCCAGGATAGCCAGTGCTCATCCCACGCCGGTTCTCTTTGGAAGAGAGTTTGAAACTGTCGCATGGTACTTTCTCCTTCAAACCCAAACTAGAGATTTCCTAAAGTTTCCTTTAGCTGGACCCCCTTTGTCTCCAAATAGTTCTGTGCTCGTTACATCACTGTCAGTGTCCCATCCGACTTAAAATCCTCCGCTCACATCTTCCAGAAGGATCGCTGCCAGCGAATACAAGATCTTCAGTAGGCTCATCACGCAGGGCCCTGCTCCTCAGCTTCCCGATGGGAGGCTGCAGCCTTTCCTAAGGTCCCCTCCCTTCCCCACACCAAATGCTGTCGTGGGGGTCAGGACTCAACGCTTTTCTGAGATGCCATCGTGAATAATCTTCATCACCATCCTGAGGACGTGTTTTTAAAGATTATTTAACTGGATTATTTGGGGTGATAATTTTTCCACTTATCAGGAATGATATTAGTTTGCTTCCTTCCAGCAGTGCTCATAACTTGACTAAATAAAGAGACTGGTATGAGGGAATGCAATCTAAGGGGACAGATATCACAGGACTTTGCCACGCTCCTGTACAGGGACCCATTTCAGTCAGTGAAGACTTGCCTGCCCATAGGGGCCTTTTTGCGGTATGTTTCAGAAAAGACAACGTGATGTGTGCAATCCTGACTTTAGTGCATTGGGATACTCATCACCCACAGGGGGCCACCTCACCCTAATTAGACTTGGTCTGCCCGGTTCCTGTTCGAGGTCTAAATAAGAGGTCTTTTTACTGATAGAGTGTTCTTGCCACATGCCATGGAATCTCCTTAATATTTTTCCCTGAACGCGTTTTTATGCTAGTCATTGGCTCATGTAGGTAAATTAGAAGTTGATTGGCACAAATGCAAATGTTATTGCATTAATGAGTGGCCATAATTCCTTTTTCCTTTTCCTGCATCTACAATAACTTGTTTTAGATTGCCTGGCAATTAGCAAGTCTTACACATAATTGCAGGTCAGAGGACAATATTTCTTTATCAGGCAGATAGACATCACTGGAATCGGGAATCCACACTGGAGTCAGGATCCCGTCTGATGGGCCATCTTGGAACACTAGACCTAGTCCTAAACTGCCTGCCTTTGAAAAGTCACGCCCCAGCGAGCTCCAGTTCTGTTGCCTTTGCCTCCTGTCTAAAGCACCTTTGTTTTGTTTCAGCTGGCAGGGTTCATCTACGCCTGTTATGTTGTGAAATGTATAACTGAAGAAGAGGACAGCTGTAAGTACTAAAGCTCTATTCTGTTTCTTTCAAGCTCAAAGCATCTTCCCAACTGCCTCCTGCCTAGCCTTCCTCGTGCTCAGACAATGTCCCCCAACATGTGATTAGAACAGGCGATAAGCCTTTCATATCCATAGGGCTAAAGTGTTTTCATAAAAGTATAGAGGATAGCAAAACAACTGGGGAAGGATTCATTTTGAAAACATATTTCTTTTTTATTGGAAAGTACTGTTAAGATCTTATAACAACTCAAGTAGGAAATAGGAAGAGGCAACTGGAGATGGAAGTAGTTTTTAAAATTGGTTAACTTGACTGTTCTGTTTCTATAAACCTTTTATTAGGTTTCGATAACTAATCAGTTTTACCCAGGACTACAAGCCTTAACAATCAACAATAGTTCCTAAAAGTCTCACAAGAATTAACTTCGGATTAATTCAAGAAGTTTGTCTTCAGGAAAGCAAAATTTTATATTTCCTTTTTGTTCCTACTCTTGGATGCAAGTGGCTAGAACTCCGTGTCTGAGTCTCAGTGTGGAGTCCTATTGCTTGGTCCAGAGTTGAGTCGGCGGTGCCCTCCTGCAGGCCTCGAGTGGCTCCACTGTCCTCTGCTCTTCCAAAAACAGCAGGTGCAAGGTTTCACTCCGCCCTTGCACCTAAGAACCTGAAAGAGGGGGATTGGGAAAAGACTTCGAGTCTCTCTGAGTGCTATCCTGGATACTTGCCCATGTACCTATATTTACTCAGGAAAAAATCAAAATTGGGAATCATGCTTTTTGGTTTCCAAAAATATTCATAGTGATGGGGTTTTGAGACAGAGTGGGAAAAAGTCAAGAATTCACTGCTCTGTTACAGGATGATTTGAGGAACACACAGTACATAGTTTATATTATTTTATGTATGAAAGGAAATGATGGCCCTTTTGCTAAAAAAGCATTTGTAAAACATTTTTCAATAGCAAATCAAATGCTCTGTGAGGCTTTGGAGATTTTAAGATTGGTAGCACACAATCTTTTACCTCTAGGCAGTTACCGTCTGGTAGGAAGAAGCAGTGGTGTGGACAAATAAGTATAAAACCCTCCAGAGTGCATAGTGGGGGAAAATAGGAAAGGGACCAGGATAGTCATTATAGAGAAGAATACTCTTACACTCTTGAGCTTGGTTTTGAAGATGAAAGATGACTAGGGTAGCCAATGTGGGAGTAAGGTGATTCCAGGTAAAAGGTGAGAAAGCACCAAGGCATCTCATAGCTAGTCATGTTGGGAGCACAGAAGCCAAGTTAATATGACTGGGTTGTGTCCTGTGCTAGAGGTGGGCATCCAGAGAAGATTAGAAAAGAGAACATGGATGAGACAGTAGAAAAATGGTGTGACAGAGTGAGGAATTTGGTCCTTGTTTTGTATAGCATGATGGCAAATCAATTGGCAAGTAGCTTATAAAAACAGAATAATATAATCAAATTTTTACTTGAGAAAAATCCCAGTGTGGTCAGTGTGAAGGAAAGACCAGAAGCAGTGGTACAGATTAGAGTAAGGGAGACTTGTTAGACCTAATGACAATGACTGAGATATGAGATCATGAGGTCTGGACCATGTTGTAGAGGGACAGCATAGATATGACAGGAGACATGCTGAAACAGAGTGCTTAATGGGCTATGGATGGTACTGTGTAAGGGACAATGAAGACACTGATAGGTTCCTGGGTTTCTGGTATAAGTGAATGGGTACATGGAAATGTCACTTGAGGAAAATAGAATGGGAATGTGAAAATGGGTTTCATTTGAATAGGTTTAGATGAAGATGCCTAATGAATATGCAAGAGAAGGCATCTATGAGTACTTGTCTTATGCACGAAACATGTATTCCAAGTTAGGACGGGTAATAGATTAATGGATTCTTAAATGCATGGACCCCACAAACTATGGATGTGCATTCAGATATTACCATGCAGTATTTTTGTGCCAAATCTTTAATGAAAGTAAAGTCTACAGTAAATTTCATATGAGAGTTGAGTTCCTTTGGCTATAATGATTGGTTTCATTTCATAATGACACCAGTGCATTTTCTACTTCAGAAAATACTGACACGCCAGCTCGCCTAGACAGATAATCAGTATCTCTCAAGAATAGTATCTCCCAGAGGGGACCCTAGAAATACTGGTTCCATAAGATATACTGGTCAAAACTAGATCCCAAAGCCAAATAAGTTTGACACTGGAAATTTAGAATGTACATTTACAGAGTCACATCTTTGTGACCACTGCAATAAAGAAGGATATTCAATTTTTCTTAATCCACGATTGAGCCATATTACATTGGATGACATATAGTGAGGCCAAATGCAGATCACAGCGAGAAGCCACAAATAGTTTTGCAGTTTTATTATACTCATAGTGTCCTGGAGCGAACACTTCATGCCACATAGGGCCACACAGAAAGCGCCAGGGTAGATCACAAGGCAGAGAGAGAGAGCAAACTATAGGCAAGCACCTTTACTGTGTTTTTTTCCATCTAAGAAATGGGCAAGGCAGGCTAAGCAGGTTGAGTACTAGCTAGCTAACTGTAAAAGTGGCACCTTGTGAAGTGCATGTTCACTTGACTATTAGAGAATATAGTTTGGGGCTATCTAAATACCACATGATCTCACTCATTTGTGGAATATAAAGAACATTATAAACTATTGAACAAAAATAGATACAGAGGCAAAGAAGCATAGAACAGACTGTCAAACTACAGCGGGAAGTCAGGGAGGGTTGGGAGGCTAAGAGATCAACTGAAGGACTTGTATGCGTGCATATAAGCATAACCAATGGACACAAGACACTGGGGAGGTGGGGTGAGGGCAAGTGCTGGGGGTTGGGGAGGCTGGGGGGAGATCAATGAGGGGAAAAGGAGACATGTATTACTATTTATAATACCTTAAACAATAAAATAAACAAAATCTAAAAATAAATAAAGTCTCCAGGTATTTTAGGTGAGCAAGGGCTTACTTGGGATCAGCCAGTGGTCATTTTGTTGATGTTAAGACAATTTACAAAAGTTAAAAGTTATAATAATATCCCAAACACCTGAACACAGAATTCTTTTCCATAAGAAGTCTTAATATTCCAGAGAATTGGAGTTCCAGAAAGCACATTTTAGGGAATTCACCCTAGACCTAGTTTGGGCCAAAACCAAATATATTTTGGAAGATCAGGTTTATCTTTCAAGCATCTAATCAACTATTTTCCCAGAGACTCTGAAATAATGCTTATGTCTTTTTATGTATTTTGACCACAATACTTTATCTTCCTTTATTAATCCAACTTCTCATAGGCAAGTTTTATCATTTTAGTCTTTTTGCTTAGTGGACAAGATATGAATTACTTTTCTTATTTTTATATCCAAGTAGAATTACCTTAGAGTTCACAGGACTAAACAGCCTGCAGGAGATGCTCCTCTGGGCTACTTCTCTGTCCAGACAGTTATGAGTATTGAGTACAATGATTTCATTTAATATTTTCATGTATTGTCATAGTCTTGGTCATTTATATGTTCCATCTCTAGACTCTGCCTAGAACACATGACTTCCAATGCTTAAGCGTAAAGGTTTGAAATTTTGGTCTAATTTTTGGTAATTATGTCACAGAGGAAATTATTTTGATCCTTTAAAAGCATCCTGGCTTGTTGAAAATCACACACACACACACACACACACACACACACGCACGCATGTGCGTGTACTCACAGAAAGTAAGCCCTGATGGATGGGACAGGTTTAATGTCTGAGTCACGGGGAAGGGCTGGGTCTCTGTGTCTGCCTGCCTGCTGTGGATTTGTAATGAAGCATCCTGATAGGAGTGCCGTGCAGGAGGAGGTGCTACCTACCCGCCGGCCTAGTGGGTTAAGTTTCCATCCCTCAGAGCCCCGATAGGAAGAGAGAGCAGTTTGGGTTCTGTAACTGCTGAGCGAGGTAACAGCCCAAGTATGGCAACTGGAGGATTATAATGTTCTTGGTGTCAGTATGAGGCTGGCCAGCCATGGGCTCAGTTTTGACACCTCAGACCTCAGCAGCAAGTGTGGCGAGGGAGCCGCAGAGACCTCTGGGAGTGGTGGAGAGGGTTCGGACTCAAACTTAGACGCGTGAAATAGCAATCAACCCTCACTGAACTAGAAGGAGTGAGATTGCAGGCACGTCAAATGCCTGAGAATTTTGTTTTTCTTATTTCTCCTTTTAAACAGGATCTCATTTGCTTTTCTAGAGCTCAATTTAATGAATATTTATATGGACATTTGAATGCAAAGTTATTGATTTTTCCTATGAAGAAGCCTGGACCTCGAAGGTTATGTCTCTTAGCCTTTCATTAGCTAAGCCAGAGCCACAGCCTTTCATTAGCTAAGCCAGAGCCACAGCCTGAGGGGCGGCTGGCTGTGCAGACTCACAGGACGCCACTGCCATCTGCTGTGCTTCCCGGGAGATAGCAGCCACCCTGGGAGCATAGTTTCAAACAGAAAGATGGGACACTCCTGCCCACAAGTATTCGTCACCCGGGTCTGCAGTGGTAAAATACAAAAACTGGGTAGCTTAGCCAACAGAACTTTATTGTCGCACAGTTCATAAGGTTGGAAGTCCAAGATCAAGATGTTGGTAGGTTTTGTTTCTTCTAAAGCCTCTGACCTTGGCTTACAGACTACTTGCTTCTTGTTTTGTCCTCACCTGGACTTTCTTCTCCATGTGTACATGGCCTTGGTGTCTCTTATTCTTCTCATAAGGACACCAGACCTGTTGAATTAGAGCCTCACACTTATGGCATCATTCAACCTTAATTACCTCTTGGCCTCATCTCCAAATACAATAACATGGGAGGTCAGGCCTTTAATATATAAATTGGGAAAGAGAAGAGACACAATTCAGTTCATAACATCCCATATTCACACACACACACACACACACACACACACACACATCATGTGGCTCCCAGATATTTGAAAATATTTATGTGGCACAGAGTTGGGCTACCTTGGCT